TGGGCCTGGGGGTGCGGAGCCTGGGGGTGCGTAGCTTGGGGGTTCTAAGCCTGGGGGTGCGGAGCTTGGGGGTGCTGAGCCTGGGGGTGCGGAGCCTGCGCGTGAGGACCCAGGAGGTGCTGAGCCGGGGGGTGCGGAGTCTGGAGGTGCTGAGCCTGCGCGTGAGGAGCCTGGAGGTCCTGAGCCTGGGGGTGCTGTGTCTGGAGGTGCTGAGCCCGAGCGTGAGGAGCCTGGGGGTACTGAGTCTGGGGGTGCGACGCCTGAGGGTTCTGAATCTGCTGCTGCGCGGTCTCCTTGGAGTAGCCGCCTTCGTTCGCGTGTGCCTCTCACCTCACAGCAGCTACACGACTGGTACGGTCGCCGTCAGGGTCGCGCTTCTTGAGCTCGGGGCTCTGCCGCTGGAGATACTTCTGCTGACGTCACTGGAGCTGGGAGTGGTGCTGGTCCCGGAGGTGCTCGTACTGGAGGTACTGGAGCTGCTGGGGCTGGAGGTGCTGCTGAGCCTGAGGGTGCTACTGCTGGAGACCCTTGGTCTGGGGGTGCTGCAGCTGGAGACACTAAGGCTGGAGACCCTGGGACTGGAGGTGCTAATTCTGGGGGTGCTGCTGCTGGTGGAGCTGGTCCTGGAGGAGCTGGCGCCGAGGATTCTGGAGCTGCTGGAGGTGCTGGAGCTGTTGGGGGGGTACTAGAGTTGCTAGTGCTAGTGGCACTGCATAGCCACGCCTGTTCTTCGCTCCACCGTCTCCGTCGTCTCAACCACCGCCTGACTCAGTGCTTCGCGAGGTTCCTAGTATCCCTTCGTCCACTGGTCTTCCGTTACAGCTTGGCTCACCGCTGCCTACTCCTTCTCCTTACGCCGAGTAGACAGGGGTTCTTACTGAGCGTCGTGAGCCTGCGTCGCATCCTGTCTCGCCTGTCCGTTCTGGTCGTTCCGGTCCTCGTGTTCCTCGTCCGCGTCAGACGGCTGTCCCCGGCACCCACCTCTTAGTCCGTCGTCCTTCCTCTCCTCCGCAGCGTGCTCCTCTGCCGTCTCCTCCTGCGTCTTCTCTGCTGCGTCTGCCTTTGTCGCTGAGCTAGTTGACTTTGCTGCTGCCTGTCATCTAGACAACGCTGCTAGTCTTGTTGTTGAGTCTGAGTATGTCTGTCCTCCGTCCGTCGGGGGTGAGTGTGCTCTTGGCACAGACGTCCTTGAGGACAGACAAGAGGACCTTGAGTGTCTTGCGGCCGCTGCACCTCATCTTGTGGCCATGCTCCTTGCCCCTGAGGGAGACCTGGATGCACCAGACATCCCAACCCCGCGCTCTTACGCTGAGGCGATCGCGGGTGAGTACTCCTCTCAATGGCAGACAGCCATGGACGCAGAGATGGCTTCCTGGAAGTCCACAGGCACATACGTGGACGAGGTTCCCCCTCTTAGGGCGAACATCATCGACGGCATGTGGATTTTCAGGGTGAAGCGGCCGCCGGGTTCTCCGTCTGTCTTCAAGGCTCGTTACGTTGCTCGAGGCTTCAGTCAGCAGGAGGGAGTTGGCTTCTTCCATACTTTCTCCCCCACCCCCAAGATGACCACTCTTCGTGTGCTGCTGCACATTGCCGCTCAGCGTGACTACGAGCTTCACTCTCTTGACCTTACTGGGTCGTTCCCTCCTGGTGCCCAGTGGAGCCTCCGGTGACCGGTCTACGGTCTCCGCCAGGCGCCACGTGAGTGGCACGACACACCGAGGACGACACTTGCGGCTCTTGGGTTTGCTCCTTCGACTGCTGACCCGTCGCTGTTTCTGTACACCGACACTTCGCTGCCGCCGTTCTACATCCTCGTGTACGTCGACGACTTGGTCTTTGCCACAGCTGACACTGAGGCTCTCGCCCTGGTGAAGTCGGAGCTGCAGAAGAGACACACGTGCACATACCTGGGTGATCTTCGCAGCTACCTTGGCTTACAGATCACCCGGGACAGAGCACGCCGCACCATCACACTGACTCAGTCACACATGGTGCAGCAGGTCCTTCAGCGCTTCGGCTTCACCTGGTCCTCAGCACAGCACACTCCTTCGGCTTCGGACGAGTCTGTAGAGCCGAGTGGTCCTTACCCAGAGCTAGTGGGCTGCCTCATGTACCTGATGACCTGCTCTCGTCCTGACCTTGCATACCCTCTTGGCCTTCTGGCTCGCTACGTGGCTCCTGGTCGGCACCGAAAGGTGCACATGGATGTTGCTAAGAGGTTATTCCGCAACTTGTACAGTACATCGGGCATGGGGCTCGTGCTTGGAGGGCGGAGCTCAGTTGTCCTCACTGGACACTCATACGCTTCTTGGGTTGACGACCAGGCTACACAGCGGTCGTCACAGGGTTACACTTTCAGCCTTGGCTCCGGTTCTGTTTCTTGGCTGTCTACACGCTCATCTTCTGTTCTCAGCTCCAGTTGTGAGGCTGAGATCCACGCCACAGCCATGGCTGCACAGGAGTTACGCTGGCTCACCTACCTGCTGACCGACCTGGGAGAGCGGCCTCGTTCTCCTCCAGTGCTGTACGTAGACAACAAGGCCACCATTGCCTTGTGTCAGGAGCATAGACTGGAGCACAGAACGAAGCACATCGCTCTGGGTTATTTCCTGGCTCGAGAGTTGCAGCAGCGGGGTCAGCTTCGCCTTGCTCACGTTGCCACTCGGGCCAACACTGCTGATATATTTACCAAGGCACTTCCATCTGGTGACCATCAGCGCTTTTGTACTTTGTTGGGCCTTGTGCCTACATTTCCACACTTGCTGTAGTCTTTGTTTGTACTGTGATCTATATATATATACCTGCATGCTTGCTCTTGCTAGGTAGAGATCACTGTACTGTTCTTGTTGCTTATATTCCTCTGCATGTGGACTGGTTTTGTGGCCGTTTGCTTGTGCTCAGTGTGTGTGGTGACGTTGTGATCCACCCTGAGCTATGTTTTGTTTCTTCTCTTGACTGGTCTTGTGACCATTGCTTGCTCTGGCTATCCCCCATTTCGCCTATGGGGGTGTGTCAAAACATATGCTTGTCATTTATCTAGGCTATATTGGGGCTAGCCTTTGGGGGTACACAAATCATCTCGACACTCTAGTTTTGTACCCCAACCTTGACCTAATGCATCATCCTTTTCTCTATAGTTTCTAAGAAAGACTGTTTATCCCATGTGCTGAGAAAAACCCTCCCGAATATCCCATCGGAAACGGGTCGTCAAGCCTGACGACCCTCTGACGACTTGACGACATGCTGCCCCGGGCAGAAAAAAACTAAAACCCTATCGGATGGCATGCCATCCTAGGGAGGCATCAACCCTAAATCCATGCCTCCCTGTGTTTAGGGTTGATGCTTCCCTGACCGGATGCATGCCCTTCTGGGGTTAATTTTTTTTGCACGCGGGCAGAGTGCTCCCCCGGACGGACTCGCTTGTCCGTTGAGATATATTCGGCGTTACCATATTTCAACAGGCTGCTTTTCCTTTGAGAGATTATATTTTTTTGCCCCGGGCAGCAATATTGCTGGGTGGAGGGGTTTGGAGATTTTCGGCTTGTTGCACTTCGCGGTGCACTGCATCGGCTTGGCTCGTGGCACGGGTTTAGGAAGGCTCCAGGAACGCAAGTGGCCGTAAATTTTTTACAGAAAACGCGCATAGAAAAGGTATGTCCTAATATAAACTTGGTAAACAACCCTTCTAATCATTATCTTGAAACTTTTCTTTCCCGAAGCAGTGCCCTTGTTTGGTCTCCCGCCTGCTTGGAGCCTTCCAAACGTCCCGAGCCGATGCGGTGCACCGGCAATTGCAACACACCGTGACCATACTAACCTGTACTCCCCCCCCCCCCCCCCCCGACCTCTTTGTGCATTCCTCACTGTTTGTTCCATTGCACATAACATGAAGTCAGGTGTGTAAGGCGATTGAATTTTCATTACAATCAGTACACTTGAAAGTGGGTGATTTTATATAGAAGTTGACGCGCTACAAGAAAGCTGGGCTTTCGTCACTACACCATATCCAACTTCACTACACCATAGCCGACTTCACACCACCATGTGAGCGTAGGTGAGGTGGAATGAGAAAACCACCGACCATTCAGCAATGCATAAGATTGAAGGGAATGGTTGATCTGCTATCCAGACAAAAGTGCCGTCTTTCCGTCGACCACTAATCGATGTTTCGCCTCCTAACTCTCTACATCGCGTTCTGTTTGTGTCTTCCAGCGGCCTGACCGTCGTCTGGTTTCTCCTGCTTTAGGTGGTTCCGCCACAACGCGCAAAGCAGAGAGCGTCGCACAGGCGGAGCTCCCGACAGCAACGGTGTCAGTCCGCACGCCTGGCTGGCCCCAAGTCGCACGTGCTTACCTCCTCCCGCGCATGTCGTAGGCCGCAGTGCCCGTCGTCGGGTCGAACGCGCATCGTCAAGCAGTGTTCTCGCGTGGGGCGCCAAGGGATGGGCGCGTCGGGGTTGTAGCTTTGGCCGCGTCACCCGCGCTGAGGCCGCCTGGCAGCGCGCCCGCCGCCCCGCCGCTGCACGGCACACCTCTGCGCCCTGCGACGCCGCGCGCTTTTCTTCACGAACGATTTATCCGAATGCGAAACGCACTTGCTGCGACGTCATTAACGAAGAACAGTTACCTTAGGTTTTCAAGATGCAGCTGCCGGCCCCTCCGAGGCCGCCCTCAACTTCCCGGATAGCCATCGGCAGCGGAGAGTAATGTCGCGCGCACAGCTCGTCTAGGCGCGCCGCTAATCGACGAGAGCGGACGGGCGCGGTTAGGCCCCGTAGCGCGTAGGCCTTTTCGCCGCAACCGTGCGTCGCTGCGCTAAAGCACTGTGGCGGCGGCGGCGGCATGAAGCAGTGGAAGCGGCTGACGGGGCTGGCGGCGAAGGGCAAAGCGGGCGATGCGCGCGCAACGGAAAGGGCTTCAGGGACGCCGCCAGGCGCGCAGCAGGCGAGCGGAGCGAGTAGGGCGAGGAGCAGCGGCGCGGCGGAGGGGATGAGAGGCATGGCAGTGACGCAGACGGACTCTATCGAGGATGAATTCCAACAGGGCTTGCAGGTGTGTGGGGCTTGCAGGTGCGCGCTGTGTGGGGCTTGCAGGTGCGCGCTGTGTGGGGCTTGCAGGTGCGCGCTGTGTGGGGCTTGCAGGTGCGCGCTGTGTGGGGCTTGCAGGTGCGCGCTGTGTGGGGCTTGCAGGTGCGCGCTGTGTGGGGCTTGCAGGTGCGCGCTGTGTGGGGCTTGCAGGTGCGCGCTGTGTGGGGCTTGCAGGTGCGCGCTGTGTGGGGCTTGCAGGTGCGCGCTGTGTGGGGCTTGCAGGTGCGCGCTGTGTGGGGCTTGTAGGTGCGCGCTGTGTGGGGCTTGCAGGTGCGCGCTGTGTGGGGCCTGCAGGTGCGCGCTGTGTGGGGCTTGCAGGTGCGCGCTGTGTGGGGCTTGCAGGTGCGCGCTGTGTGGGGCTTGCAGGTGCGCGCTGTGTGGGGCTTGCAGGTGCGCGCTGTGTGGGGCTTGCAGGTGCGCGCTGTGTGGGGCTTGCAGGTGCGCGCTGTGTGGGGCTTGCAGGTGCGCGCTGTGTGGGGCTTGCAGGTGCGTGGGGCATGACATGCACCCAAGCATTCACTTATGCGCCCATGCACCACTCCCCATCCCCAATGCTCCATACCATACCCCATGCCTTATTCCCCGTCCCCTGTGTCAAGTGCCCCGTGCCATGACCCATGCCATGGCCCATCCCATCCCCCATCCCATCTTCCATGCCACACCCCGTGCCATCCCCATGCCCATGCCCCGTGCCACATGCCCCGTGCTGCATGCCCCATGCACCATGCTCTGTGCCCCATGTCCCATGCGCCATGGATGGCAGGAGGTGGGGGAGATGAGGGACAAATACGAGCGCCTGCTGGCAGCCGTGGCGGACGCACAGGAGAGAGCAGCAGGTGCGCTCTTGGGTGGCTTCCAAGCCTGCGCACTTCAACTAGTACTCAATCATTTCTTGGACTCCCAACTGTTGCCGCTTCTGTCTGTCCGTCCAAGCCCAGCCGCACCGCATGCTCTTGTCCCTCCCTCTACGCCTCTCCCACGGCACATGCATGCTGCCATCGTACTCGCTCCATTGCCACCCATTTCTCATGCCGCCGCTGCTCTCCCCACCACCATACCTCTCATCCGAACCGAACCCGTCTCTCTCCACCCCTCTCCCCTCCTGCGCGCATCAGAGTGTGCGGAGGCGCTGCACCAGCTGGCGGCGGTGGTGGCGGAGGCGTTTGGCGGCGTGGAGGAGGGCGGCGCCGGGGACACCCTCGTGGCCGCCGCTGCTGTGGATGGCCGCCTGGCCGAGCTGCTCTACTTCTACGTGAGCTTCAGTATATTTTCAAAACTTTGTGAGCTGCTCTGCTTCCATGTGAGCTGCTCTACTTCCATGTGAGCTGCTCTACTTCCATGTGAGCTGCTCTACTTCCATGTGAGCTGCTCTACTTCTATGTGAGCTGCTCTACTTCCATGTGAGCTGCTCTACTTCCATGTGAGCTGCTCTACTTCCACGTGAGCTGCTCTACTTCCATGTGAGCTGCTCTACTTCCATGTGAGCTGCTCTACTTCCATGTGAGCTGCTCTACTTCTATGTGAGCTGCTCTACTTCCATGTGAGCTGCTCTACTTCCATGTGAGCTGCTCTACTTCCACGTGAGCTGCTCTACTTCCATGTGAGCTGCTCTACTTCCATGTGAGCTGCTCTACTTCCATGTGAGCTGCTCTACTTCCATGTGAGCTGCTCTACTTCCATGTGAGCTGCTTTGCTTCCCCTCTAGCCACTCGCATCTCACTGGTCACCCCTCTTCCGTCTGTCGGCACCTCCTACCCGCTGCCCTCTCTGCTCCCACATGCCCCCAGAGCCTGCACTTGCAGCAGACACTGGCGGAGCCGGCAGAGGCGCTGCTGGGGGAGATGCAGCACGTGGTGGTGAGATGCAGCACGTGGTGGTGAGATGCAGCACGTGGTGGTGAGATGCAGCACGTGGTGGTGAGATGCAGCAGGATTGAGCAATAGGTATCTTGTGAGATTGATGTGGCCTTGGCAGGTGTTGCGGCCATGACATTTGTCATGTGGTGTAAGCTTTTCGAAGACGTAGAAGTGATTAATAGTTCCTACCTTATTTGACTAACACAAAAGTCGAACTTCAAGGTTGTGGAAACTTGTTGGACCAAAGAGGAAGCATGAGTGGGCTAGCGAACACAAACTTGCCACAACGAGGAAATTAATAAAATTAAGCCAAGGGTTAGTAGATCGAACCCCTGTTCTCTCCCTCCCGTCTCCGATTCCCAAAACAACTGGACCTTTTTATCAATCGGGCAGACGAGCTTTCTCCTCTCATCCTACCTCTCATCTTCACCTGCCGTCCCGTCTGCCCTTTGTCTATATCTCACACTCTGATTCCTCTTCTTCTCTCCTCCGCCCTCTGCCCTCCTCCGTCCACCAGGAAACGAAGGAGCTCTACGAGCAGAAGAGGTGAGTGTCGTTGCAGCCCGGTCCTTGGTTGCTGGGTTTGTATCACACAACACACAGAACAGGGCTGTGAGTAATGCAGGTGTAAACTGGGGGCGCGCGATGGCGTGATGCCATGCCAGTGCAGCTGCTGTGCCGTGTCACGCTTGATGCACTCAGTGTGCCAAGGGAGTGCCACGGACGCACACAGACGAAATGGCTGGATAGGATCGTTGGAAGTGATTGGAACTAAAAGGGAGTTCAAATCTGCAAAGCTGAGTTGGGACTGGCCTGCGCATTTCGTTTCTCTCCACTGTGTTCGCCCCATGTGCCTCGCCCCATGTGCTTGGCCCCATGTGCCTCGCCCCATGTGCCTCTCGCTCAGACCGACGGCTTGGCTGTTGCTGTCCCCTGTTCCCACCCCACCTCTTCCCTGCGCCCCCAACGTGTGGGCGAGCAGGAAGGCGCATGCAGCAGCGGCAGTGGCGGCCAAGGCAAGGCGCAGAGAGGCGGCCGCCATGGGCGCAGGGGGGGGCGCAGGGGGGGAGGCAGAGGGGGCGGGGGGGCCGGAGGAGGAGGAGGCGGCGGCGCGGGAGGAGTTTGACGAGGTGGCGATGACGCTGGGGTGCCGCATCCTGGCGCTGCAGCAGCGCCAGCCGCGCCTGCTGCTCACCCTCGCCGTCAAACACCACGCCGCCAAGGTGGGCCACCTGTGCCGCCAAGGTGGGCCACCTGTGCCGCCAAGGTGGGCCACCTGTGCCGCCAAGGTGGGCCACCTGTGCCGCGCGTTTAGGACTGTATAGGTGCTCGGTGCTTCAGTGTGAAGCAATCAGGCAGACGCGATGCTTTCACGGTGTGTTGCCCCGCCCCTGCACCCACGATCTCCTCTTCTTGCACAACACGACCCCTCCGCTTCTCCTCCTTTTTGCCCTGCCGTCCCGCAGGTGCGGTGGGTGCGGGGCAGTGCAGGGGAGCTGCAGCGAGTGCAGCCGCACATGCTGCACGTGCTGGACGACCTGGGCCTGGTGCACACACCGCTGCTGGCGCCCGTCGCACAGGGGGACGTGGACGAGTGGGGCGACGAGGGGGGGGCAGGCAGTGCAGTGGGCGCGAGGCAGATCTGCCTCGATGCCTTGAGCGTGCCACCCGCATCACCTGTGCGTGCATGTCGGAGCTGCTCTGCTGTGTATCCGTGTTCCACCAGCTCCCTTGTTGCACTCGCCCCACTTTCCACTATTTCTGTCCCTCACTCCATTTTCTATTCCCTACATTCATTCTCTCCATTCATTCCCCCTTGTTCTCTTCCCCCGCTCCCTCTTTATGCCTCTCCCCCCTCTTGCAGCACGCCCCAGCTCAAGGCCTCGCCTCTCCCCCCTCCCCCCAGCACGCACACCCCTCCACACCCGCACACATCGCTGCCACCGCTCCTGCTGCCCCCGCCCCCTCTGCTGCCTCTGCACCACATGCGCCTGCCACGCCTCCTGCTGCACCCGCGCATGCACCGCCACCCATCCCGCCCTCCACCTCCACGGCACCTGCGCCCTCCCCTGTCATGCCGCCCGCCCCCACCTCTGTCAGGGCAGATGCCCCTGGCCCAGGGGGGGTTGGGCGAGGCAACGCGGTGAGTGGCGGCACAAGGAGCATGCCTCGCAGTGTGGGCGAGGGAGCAGGCATGCAATCAGGAGGCGTGCTGCAGCAGCCACAAGTCCATGGAGACTCGCCCACAGCACCACCACCACCACCGCCGTCGCAGGGCCGGCATCGCAGCAGCAGCAGCACGGGGGCGGGGGGAGCAGCGCGGCCATTGCTGGGGGCGTCCAAGTCGGGTCCCATCTCTGCCGCCGCCTACCTGGGCGCTCTCGCTGCCTCTGCTGCACCTCTGGGAGGGCCGCTTGTTGCTGCAGCCGCCACAGGGGGGGCCATGGGGGCAGCAGGCAGCAGAGGGGCGGCAGTACCGAGGGGAGCGGGTGCAGGCAGGGCGGGGCGGGGCAGAGCGCCTGACATGGAGGCGTGTGCAGCGCAGATGTGGGGCCCTCTCCCCCGCCCGGAGTCCTTGCAGGGGCCTTGGCGCATAGTCTCTGCCGCCCCACCCACACCGCCTGCACCTGCACCACCGCCACCTGCTGGCCCTGCCACCGCTGCTGCTGCCGGGTCTAAGCCCACCCCAGGCGGCGCCAAGCCTACGCCTGGCGGCCCTTTGATGCCAGTCTCAGCGCAGGGGGCTGCTGTGGGTGCTGGCATGGGGGCAGGGGCTGGGCAAGGTGCAGCAAGCGGTGGCACTGGTGGATCAGCAGCAGCAGCAGCAGCCGCAGCCGGTAGGGGACGGGGAGCAGGGGGTGGTGGTGGGGGCGTGGGCAGCAATGCGCCAAGGGCGCGAGTGAGCATGTCGGGACCCATTCTGCGCGGCTCCTACCCCTACGGCACAGCAACCCTCTCACCCCGACCCATGCTCGCCACAGCCACCGCTCTGCCCACTGCGCCTTCTGCTGCTGGAAGCTCCACGCCCTCTGCACCCAACCCCTCGTTGCCCTCCCCGCCAGCGCCAGCACCATCAGCACCACCAGCACCATCAGCAGCAGCAGCAGGAGCAGCAGGCAGAGCCCCATCTGCGGTGCCTGCCGCCCTGCGCGTGCCACAGACCTCGTCTCTGAAGACTCCTGGCAGCACCGTGCATGCGCTTGTGTCCCCCCGTCCCTCCGCCGCTGCACCTGCTCCGTTCCACCTCGCCCCCTCGCATGCGACCCATGTCGCCCCGGTGGGGGCGGGCAGCCGCGCAGTGAGTGGCCCCATCACGCGCGGGTCGCTCTACTCCACCTTCGGCCTCATGGCCGATGCCCGCCCCGCCACCTCCACCACTGCTGCTGCTGCTGCTGCTGCTGCTAGGCAAATAGCAGTTCCGGGAACAGCAGGGAGCAGTGGTGGGGCGAGTGGAGCAGCAGCAGCAGGGCGTGGCAGTGGTGGTGGGGTGAGTGCCGTGCGGCTGCACAAGTCGGGCCCCATCGGCCCCTCCCATCCCTACTACTCCTCCCTCACCCCCCTCTCCCCTCCTCGCAACATGCCCCTTCACGCCCTCCCCCCTCCTCCCCTCGACATCCCCCCCACTGCTGCTGCAACGGGTGCCGCTGCTGCAGGAGGCATCGAAGGTACAGAGGGTGCCGGTGCTGGAGGTGGGGATGGGGCAGGCAAGGGGAGTGCGGACAGCAGAGCTGGGGGCAGTGGCAGCGCAGGAGTGGCAGGTGGGCAGGGGCAGGCGTCCCCTGCTGCCACCTCCTCCGTCCTGCAGCATCACCACGGCCGCCCGCCACCCATCGGTGCAGGGGGAGGGGTGGGAGGAGGGGGCACGGCAGGGCGGGCGCGGGTGGGGGGGGCGTCGCGCAACCCATCGGTGGCAACGATCATGTCGGAGGGCAGTGAGGAGGGCGGATCCAGCACCAGCAGCATTGCCACCTCGCCTGCTGCTCGCCCTGTGCCCTCCTGACGCCCTTGCCCTCCTAATGCTCTCGTGGTGACCACAACGATGGGAGTGTAGAGGGAGGTGGATGGAAGGAGACCAAGTCGGTGCCTCACTCGTTCGTGGGCACTAGCACATGGGGTGGGGCCATGTAGATTCTGTCAGTCTCTCTCTCTCCATCACCCGTGCTTTGTGTGTTTTGAGTCGACTCAAAACACACCTGGATACAATGTCACGCGATGTGTTTACAGGGAGGCGAGCTATTCTGGCATGGAAATTGCCAAAAAGGGTTGGAAGCTTTTTAGTTTCTGCTCGTAAGTGCTAGCGTAGTGTAATTCTGTTACTGTAGAATTTTTGCTGAGACTTGGGTTTCCCTGCGAGCTCAATAGCGAGCGGGATCCCCTCGAGGGCATTATATAAGCCTCGAGGTCTCATTTGCTTTCTTGTGGTCTGACATGTTGGAAACAATAAGTCCTAAGTGCGCTTCTGTCGTATCAAAACCCAAGGCACCAAGCGAAGCAGTCCCAATCGAAGCATCGAGTCAACCTCGGAGGTTAGGGTAACCGCCTGGAGGTTACGAGAAAGTCAAAGGTCGCTGACCTTTGACTCGACAATTACAGCGCGACAGTTAAGGACACACAACTGACTCGTTACAGAGCAGTTGCCCGAGTCGCACTGTATCGAACCGCAACAGCAATACAGTTATCTGCATATCTATTCGTATTCCCTGTACTCTTATATAAATCCTTGTATTTGCTTGTTTAATTTAATCAACTTTGCTCTCACACACCAGTGCAAGGTCGGTTCAAATTCTTCACTAAACGCTTCCGCTATTACAACCACTTCACCTAGAGTTATCTCTTGGAAAGATCCTAAGGGGCTATCTCAGCCCAACATGGTATCAGAGCAGACAAGGGAAACTCTACTCCTTTTTAAGATCATTACAAGACATGGCAACAAACAAGGAAAGGAGCTCCCCTAATGGCTCCTCGGGCACTACTCCTACTCCACCGCCAGCCTCTGGCCTGCAGACAGAAGAAGGCACGGCAACAAGACCAAGAGGAACGTCAACCGAGACCCCCATGAACCACCCTTCGGACTTTGACCAGAACATGATGGAGAAATTTTTCTCCTTCATGTCCTTCTACGAACAACACCAGCAGTCGGGACCTGCACAAACACACAACAGCAACAACGGAGCGACACCCATGAGTCTTGATGGGTCGTCATATGCGCGAGGAAACCAGCAGCAGCAACCTACCTTTGCTCCGTACGAGCGCGGATCAATCAGCTTCGTGCCCCACCCGCAACCTTCACCTGGACAAGAAAGACCACTGGACGCACTTCAAGTTCAGTCGCAGTTTGCACACGTCTTAAAACTGCAAACGTCAAGACCCTTCGACGGCAAAGACTTCTTTACCTGGTCCTTTGAATTCGAGCTGATGATGGAGGGCGCGCAGATACTCGGCTTCTTCGACGGGTCCCTGCAGTATCCAGCCAACGGGACACAATATGAAAAGCAGCAGTATACGTATCAATCAATGATGGCATATACAATCCTATTGAGGAACGTGACACCAACTCAGCAACAGAACATTCGCTCTTACCGGACCTTCGGCAACTCGGCGGAGCTCGCGTACAGCCATCTGAAGACCCTGTATCAAGCAACAGACAGTGTAAACCAGAGCAGGTTAATGGCGCAGTTGACGACAGTCGAAATGAAACCAGGAGAAAAAGGACTGGCGTATATCAGCCGATGTCGCGAACTGCGCGACAAGCTGCTTCGATGCGGAGGGTCAATCTCTGAAGACGCCTTCGTGACAATCATCATTGGTGGGCTTGGTCCTCAGTGGCGCGCCACCAAAGCCATTCTTCGAGCCCACGGAAGAATCTCTGAAGCTGCACTCTGCGCCGAAATACATGCCGAGCAGCAAGATATGGACCTGCAGGAAGAACGACACAGGAAGAAAACGACAGTATCAGAGTTCGCATTCCACACTCAACGACGACACAGCAATTATAACAACCGACAGCAGCAACCGAAGATAGTACCTCCTTTCTGCCACATCTGCAAGACTTCAGGGCACCCGCGCACACACTGTCCGAATCGTCAGCAATCAACGGCACCACAGCGACAACTTCGACCTTCAAGCTCCCAAATGGCTTCAACACAAGCAAGTGCGACAACCACTATTCAAGCTTCAACGACTTCACCCGGACAACCTGCACAAGGAGCAAGAAATATAATCAACTGCATGACGAAGATAACCGATTCGTGTACAACCGAATCACCACCACACTACTCACCGGAAGAAGAGCTTGACAACAGAACGCCTCGCCGTGAGCTACTCCAGCCGAATCCAACGTACGCCGCCATCGCTCAAAGTGAACCGTCCGGCCAAGACACCTGGTTCTTGGACAGCTGCTGCGGGCAACACATGTGCTCGTCCGGGCGTTTCGTACAACGCGAACATCGACTCCAACGGGAAGTGATCATCACGGTTGCCAACAACCAAAACCTGCGCACCAAAAGACAAGGAGTGGTACAGCTTCAGTCAAGAGAAACAAATGTCATACTGCACATGTCTAAGGTACTCATCGCTGAAGGACTCGGCTACAACTTACTGAGCGTTAGCCAGTTGATGGCGAAAGGAATTCATCTGGAAGCCGACAGCACGACCCAGGAGTTCAAGCTCTACCACGGGAAAGGCGGTCTCTACATCGGAAAAGCAGTGCTGAAGAACAACGTCTTCGTCCTCGACTTCGTTCCTGACCTCGGCACTGCAGACAGCGACGCCATCGTAAATTTCACTGACTGGACACACCCTCCGGATCTCGACCCTGACTTCAGCCCGGGAGGCTTCTGGTACTCGCACACCATTCCTGAAGCAGAACGAACACGAGCATTAGCAACAATTCGACAATCGGCGGCAGCAGTAACAACATCAACAGCAGTAACAACATCGGCAGCAGCAACAACATCAGCAGCAGCAGAAACAACGACACCAGTCACAGTCGACGAAGCACCACCAACACCCGCGCAACAGCTGAATCCGACTCAACGTGAAGTCCACCGAAGCGCCAACCTCGTCGCCAGCTTTTACTCCAACTCCGACGCATATCAGCGTTCACCTGGACACCGCGCTTCTGAAGAGATCTGGCACGCACGAACATGACATCCAAGCAACACGGTTTTGAATAACACGATAAGAGCAGAAGTCCTTGACAAAGATTCTCTACTTCTACCCGATGGCAGAGAACTCCAGAAGGCACGAGGGACTTGCCTTATATGTCCCGAAGCTGACTTACCTCATCGACCGTTTGCTTCACATCACAACCCGAGCGCTCCAGCGTACGCACCACTCGAAAAAGTCTACAGCGACATCCTCTACAATCGCGAACCAGGACAAGTCAACTACAACTACACCATCACCTTCATCGACGCCGCCACTCGATACGTCTGGCATCGCAACCTACCCAGCCGCGACATGGCGCTCGCAGCATTCGCCGCCTGGCTACCGATAGCAGAGAGAGAGTCTGGAACACAACTGAAAAATTTCCAGTCAGACGGAGGTGGCGAGTACACCTCTCACCGCTTCAAGCAGTTCTTGGCGGAAAGGGGGATCAAGCAACTCCTCTCCCTTCCCTACGCACATCAGCAGCAAGGTGTTGCAGAACGACTGAACAGGACCCTGCAGAACAGCATGCGCAAACTGTTACGCGGCATGCGGCTACCCAACCACCAGTGGCCAGCAGCAATGGACCACGCTGTCATGCTGCACAACCTGTTGTCGTCGTCGTCACTCCCGAACAACGCATCACCGCATCTGCTGTGGACAGGGAAGCAGGGCAGCACGAAAATGTTACGAGTTTTCGGGTGCATGGTACAGTACCGACCCCCAGAAGCACGAGCGGGAAGATTTTCGCAACGGGCACAATGGGGACTACACCTCGGCATCGAGAAAAATTACAACGCATGGAGAATCTTCGACGTCCACACAAAGGAAACAGTAGCAGCACGTGACGTGATCTTCTACGAAAGACTCACCCTTCAGACGTACCTCGCCAACTTGCACGAGAATCGGGACCTCACCAGTGGTTTTCGTGGTGACCGAGCCTTCGCGTCAGCAGCGGATGAAGCAAACTGGGACGAGCAGAATGTTGACAACGCATCGGCAGAAGCCGGACCTCTCCCGTACTGCTCCGTCCACGTGCCCATGGACGAAGAAAATCCTCGCGACAGTAACAACGCCGAAGTCTTCTACCACTTCGCCGACACCGGTTACGTAACACCTGCAACCGTCAACACAAATGAAGCAGAAAGGATAGGACCGAATTTCATCCCTGATCCAGAAGCGGGAGACGAAGCAGCTTGTCCCGAGGATCCAGAACTCCCTCGATACTCACAGACTGGACTGCAAATCCTCGGCCTCGTCACCGCAGTCCACGGGAACACACGCAGCTCACTTCCTAAGGAGCCTGCAACGGTTCAGCAGGCTCTGGGGGGGGAACACAGGGAGAAATGGCGTGAAGCCATGGATAGAGAACTGAAGGCATTAGAGGAACGCAACACTTGGAAGGTTGTTCCCGTAAGCGTGGCACAGAACAAAACCATCCTTACCGGGAAATGGGTCTTCCGCATCAAGACGAAAGCAGACGGCACGATCGAAAAATTCAAAGCACGCTGGGTCGTACGTGGATTCGACCAAGAGCAAGGACGAGACTTCACCGAGACCTTTGCTCCAGTCAGCCGCCACACGTCACTCCGAATTCTCCTCGCCATTGCCGCCATGAAGAAGAAGAAGTTACGGCAGATCGACGTCGCGAATGCCTTCCTCTACGCACCTGTGGATGCAGAAATCTACGTCGAACTCCCGCACGGTTCCCACGGCGAACCCAACTGAATCTGTCAACTACTTAAGTCGCTCTATGGGATCAAGCAGGCACCGCGACTGTGGCAGCAGTACCTGCACGCCCGTCTTATCCGCATCGGCTTTAGTCAACTACCTCACGACCAAGGCATGTAC